AATGTTGACAGTAATATGAATATAATATCAACCTTTGATTTTGTGATCTGTATCTTGTCAAGGTGATTCAAATGAACTTTAATATGATTTTTCAAAAAGCATGAATGTATGGAGTTCAAAATAAAAGCCTTACAATGAACATCTATGCTATCAATGTCTTATCAAATATTTTTTTTGAGCTTTTAAGTTTTCATTTCTTTTTAAAATTTTCAAAATCAAATTATTGTTTATATATTTAAATTTTAAGTTGTTAAAATTTAATTTTTGTTTTGATTTATATTCATTTCTTTTTGCCTCTTATGAAATCCTTTTCAGTTTTACAATTTTAGTACAATGTTTAGTGTAGACCAACTATGTTCAATATTAAAGACATTTTGCACTGCTAAATTCTGTGTCAGTTTCAAAATTTCAGCATTACAGTGAGTGAAAGAAATAACTACTTACCCTCATATCTTTTTCATCCATTTGTTTACTGACTAGATCTTTCTGTGCAATGCGTGCTGATTCAGTGTTCTCAGTAAGAGCCTTGTGTACAAGTTGGGCTTCATAGAAATCTGGGTGCTTAGTGTTAATATAGGCTAATTCTATGTGTACTAAATTTTCAACCTGCAAAAGATAATTTTGTCAGTTAACTTTTGTAAAATACAAAACTTAATAAGCAACTCTTATGATATTATCACTTTCTGCCAGGTGTATCAACAGACTATGGAAGAAGTAGAACAACATTTTGTGTTTTCAATCTCTCTTAAAAAAATGAAAACTGAATATTTTTATGCAATTTTAATAATTACACTAACAGTTCTGCTAAAGAAAATGATAAAGCCAATAAAAAGAATACAATACCTTTGGAAATCTTGAGTAATTTACAACCTGCCATAAATTGGCAGGCTTTCTGTTCAAGGATCTTAAACATATGCAAATTTGACTAATTTTTAAAACATATCATTCCACTAATATTTTATGAAAATTAATCACTGGGTAGTTCTTGCCCATACTATTCTTTCTAATGATACTTGCTTCTGAATATATTCTCAACTAAGCAAGCACAAAAAAATGCATACAAACACATTTTGAAGTCTTTTAAACCTTCAGCTATGAATGACTATGTTTCAAAAAGTTCAATAACATAACATTTCACAAGAGTTCAGCCTTAACTGAGAACTTTAGGAGTTTCCTGTGATTAAGTTCAAGTTTCATTAAGTGGCCAATAAGTGTTGTGTAGTGTGTTGCACAATACAAGGAGATAACAAGAGTTTCATAATAAACTCCATACTGGCCATGCTGCAGCTAAACTTTCACCAATTTTCATTTATGACCAAGTCCTGACAATCCTATCAATAGTTTAGGAATAACTATAACAAGCTTAAGTTAATCAACAAATGAAAGATCCAACATGCCACCATACAAATCTTCCACAAACAGAAATAAAAGAATAGGTATATGAAAAATGAACCTAAATACACCTCTCTCTCAGCACCTTGTGTCCAGATAACATGCAATTAAATGAAACCTTGATATAATGCTCACTGTATCAGAAAATATCGCAGTTAGTACCTTGAGATTCAGAATCAACAAGTTTTATTTAGGAAATAACAATTTTCTTACAATTTTCCCTAAAAATAATTGCTCATTACACTGTAAATAATACTATATTGCAAAACAATTTAAAAATCAATGAAAAATGTTGGAAAATGCCAACTGATGGCAATATGGTAAGAAATATTCACTAATTTTATATATAGTCAAAACATATTTGTTTAAATGAAATCAGTATAATTGAGATATGTTCTCTTCAATTAAAACATGAAAATGAGTCAGCCAACCATCACATCAATACCATTGAGTACTTTTGTGAGAACTCAAGTGCTGGCTGTGTTTTGATTTACAACTTGGGTTTGTTTGTTTGTTTGTTGTTGGGCTTAACGCCATTTTTCAGCACACGATAGGCTATTCATGGCGGCCAGTATTAATGGTGGAGGAAGAAACCGGGAAATCACCGGAAAGAACCACCCACCCATGAGAAGTTACTGGCAAGCTTTCTCACATATCTACATTAGCCGAATCCTAGACTCGAACACACACAGAGGTGAGATGGCAGTGATCCGTAACGGACAGCGCTTTAGACCACTTGGCCACTCGGGGCCCCCTACAACTTGGGTAATTGTTTGCTGCATTGTAACAATAGATAACAAAAGAGACTTGATTTATCACTTTAATTGCCTCCATTTTCATGTAAGTTTGAACAAGCTATATTTGTATTATATTTTGTGTATTAACACCATGTTTCATGCAAAAAAAGTACGGATTTTTATATTTTCTTTTTTCATATGCCAGATCAAATTCCAGATATCTTCCAGTGCAAAGCAATTAAGTTGTAAAGGCAGCAGTCAGTTTATTTTTCCAGTTGAGAATCCTTTGTATGTGCCAAGAATTTGATTCTTATTCAGTGAAAATTCGAGTCCTACAAATATCTGTGCATGTCTGAACTTAATCCCTAAGTTTGTGATGACAGCACCTGCTTTGTTTTCCAGTTTAAAACCCTCTGATTGAACCACACATCTGATACTTGCTCAGTGCCAAGCAGTCCTATATTTAAACAGAGTTTATTTGAATGCACACATGCCACACAACTAACACATGCTCAGTTACTGAATATCTTTTAAGAGATATTGCAAAATATACACTTAATTGTCACTTACAGAGTACAAAGTCAGTCTATACATAAGCTCTCCTAGTTCAACCCAGATGAATTACTGGGATTTTCATCTGATGACATTTCTGACAATGGCATTTACAGAATACAGTGGATCTCAAAAGTATGTACGTTACATTCACTGCTTATTTACATCATGTATAGAATTAATATATTATTGCAAACTGTGAATTGGATCATTTTATACCAGAATGTGACATTTAACAGAATTAATGGATTTATCATATAAATGGATTTCAAAGGACAAGCATTATGAATTTGTATAGATCTAACAAGACAGTGATAGAAAAATTAAGTTACAAAATGTAAGTTGTCAATTTATTTGTCACATATTTTACTCCATAATATAACTATTTTACACTCATTTTGTCTTTATTGTATGCTTTATTTTATTTTATGTATGTATGTATGTATGTATGTATGTATGTATGTATGTATGTATGTATGTATGTATGTATGTATGTATGTATGTATGTATGTATGTATGTATGTATGTATGCATGTATGTATGTATGTATATAGTTAAGTTTGTTTATTTTTATTTTTTTATTTTTCCAAAGTGCAACTTAAACTAGATGATGAGAAGTCAACCCATACCAATTTAAACATTGTTTCTGAAAATTAACGTGCTCCATTAAAAACAAAAATCTTCTTTAGTTCTAGATGAACAATAAACACTAGAATGTATCCAATTTAACATAGAAAGCAGTGATGTAATACACAACAGCAGTACACATACTTAGAATCTGAAATTGCTAAGAATACTGTTTTTAATGATCTTTTCAAGATTCTTTATCTTGCAAATAAAGGTAGTTTATAAAGAAAAATAAATAAGCTACTTATCAGCATGATTATGAAATGAGTATTCAATGATGTAATCTGTCCACCCCCACCCCCTTCTTCTCTGTCAATCTCCATCCCCATTCTCTGATTTTCCTAAGTCCCTTGGTAACTTGAGCTTATATCACAGTCTATGTTCATTGACTCCTATTTTGCATGAGTGCCGGAAAGGTGAACAACTATTTTAGTCATTTTAAACAGAAAATTACAACCACTAATTGGAATATGAAAAGACAAACTGGCCTTGCATTTTTCCCATTCCTATTTACTTCCTCATTCACTTACCATAGTATTGGTTGGAGGAAGTCGACTTCTCAACAAATGTGTTACTACGTCTAAAATCTTGTCATGAAGCTTGGGAAACCTTAGCATCTCTTGCTACAAAAAAAAAAAATAAATGAAATCATGAGAATTTAAAGATATTTGAATATTTTAGATACCCTAAACATCTGAAATACCTTAGTATACCAGTACTATGTGAAATTTCTTAATCACATTTTATATTTAATCATCAATGACACTGCTGAAATTGTTAATAGTCCGCTAATGATATTAAAAAAATATGGTGGCTATCACCACAACCACTAGGTTCACAAATGTTGGTATCATCTCTCACTACTACAGTGTGACCCTGCTATAGCACGCTCTGATTTAACGTGAATTCGGATATAAGTTATGGTGTAGCTCCTGAAATTTCATATATGTGTATTTTTCTCATACAAGAAAAAAATTCTTTCTTAAAAGTACCAAAAAGAATGTAAAAGGTTTATTATCGTTTTGTGGAAGAGATTGCATTTCAATAATACACGAAGACTGTGGCATGGCTCTGAAATTTTATATCTACTTTTCTTGTTCATGAAAAGAGTATTTTTCTTTCAGAACAGATTTGGAGAACTGTTTCTTATTGTGGTGGTAACATCAAATTTTCTGTAACAATCCCTTTCATCAGACAAAAACACCTTCTGTTGACCCTTTTTTAAATTTTTGATGTATGCATGGAAGGCAGCATCACTATGCTACCACAACTGTAAAAAAAAATACCATCCCACCCTACCTCAAACCAAAATGTTTACTTGTTCAACAGGCAGGGAGTAACAGTAACTACAACTGACCAAACAATGACCAATTTCCTTTTCAAAACTGTAACCATATAAATATAGTTTGTGAAATTTCAAAGAAAACATTGCCTTTGAAGCACCAATTGTTATGGATAGATTTGGATTTTGGATTTTTAACGTAACTTTAAAAAAAATTTCAGTAATATCGCTATGATTTCTGCAGTGTGGCAGTTTATAATGATGTCTAGCACTGGAGCATCATACCACAGACATGTAGCATAATGTCCCACCCAGTCACATTATCCTGACACCAGGCCGACCAGTCCTAACACTAACCTTTTAATGCTGAGTGCCAAGAAAGGCAGCTATTAGTAACATTTTTGTAAGTATGACTCAACTGGGGATCAAACCCACAACCTCCCACATCCAAGGCAAACACTCTAACCACTAGGCCACTGAAGCGGTTAGTGATTGTTATGAAAATGTACAAAGCAAATGGAAAAAAAATCAGTCTCAATCATACAATACAACTATCTGATGTTGCCACCACAATAAGAAACAGTTCTCCAAAGCTGTCCTTCATCAAGAAAGCTAACTAGTCTTTAATGAAAACAAAGAACCTTTCTTCAAAGGAAATCAGTAGTAACAAGCTTAATTAAAAGCAATTGAATCTGATGGATCATTTTATTTTCCAACGTGACTGGAACACGTTTACTGTGCTGTGAAAGTTTCCTTTTTGCAGGAAAAAAGTTTATACTTACGAATGCTACCAATGGCAGTTTAAAATGCAAAATAACTTTCAATAACTTGGGACGTACTGAGAGACAATGTGGAATAATGTTTACTGCACCACAGCAAAGTTTCTAACTGGTAAACAAATGGTTGATGAGAAATATCTACTGGGAGGAATGGGATGTAATGGACACGAGCTTCTTCCCTTCAAATGATATAAAAATGGGAAGAGTAATATTTTAATCTTTTTGTTCGGAGAACATGATTCAATAGGTAACTTTTTTTCCCTAGTGTTAAAATCCCTATTTTTGACTGCCAAATCTAGCATTTTCCCACTGGTCTAAAGTGTTTTTTTTGTAACTATCAATATTTGTTTTAAAAAAATCCCCCCAAAAATTTGTTCATTTGTTTAGCCCAGTAACTGATGGATTTAGAACATTGTATATACCAATTATTATCATATATATATATCATTTGTTACATGACTGTGCTATTATATATATATATATATATATATATATATATATATATATATATATATATATATATATATATATATACACACACACACACACAATGTCTTGCCATTCACTGGTGAGACAATAAAAACAACTATAAATTGATTACCTCTAATCCAACTTACATTAACATGATCATATGCAAATAGATTTTTAAAATATAATTTATTTTAATCTCATACAATTTTTATCTGGACAAAAATTTTTTATGAATACCAGTGAGTATAACTACATATATACCTGTGTCCCACAATGCTGTATTATTCTTTGCATTTCCTCATGAACCAATTCCACACATCGTAAACCTGGTTCTTCTAGACGACGAATCTGTCTTTTAACCAGCAACTCAAATGATATTTCTGGTACAAACAGAGCTGGCCTAGGTCCCTAAAATCCAAAAATTAATCAAGTGATTACATGATTTCATAAAAGTACATTTTCAAGGACTTAGAGAATGTCAGTGAAATCTTGTTTCTATGATTACAGATCAAGACAGATATACAACCTAAAAATGACCATGCATATACAATTCAGAAGCTTGTTCCTAAGCTTCCAACTTATGCCTCAGCATTAAATAACCCAACTGTGCTTCTGTGCCATATCAAACCAGATTTATGCAGAGTCATTGTTTCTTTTTTTGTGAAATTTCTGCGCAAATGAATGTGTCAGTACTTGAGCTAACATTATATGATCCTAAAATATTAATGGAGACATAATTTAAGCTGTTCACTCACAAAATGTACTCAAAAGTTTTATGAGGATAAAATTTTGATGCGTTTGACTAGGCTCTGTATTCTTAGTATGTCATCCAAGTGACTCCACTATGTCTTGAATGGAGATGAAACACTTTGAATGCCAAGCTCATGGAAAGGGCACATATTTTGTGAGCAGAGATTTTCACTATGCGTACCTCTTCCAGAGAGGTCATTGTATACTAATTCTTTTATAACTCCCTTAATCAAGCAGCTAGTACAAGTATTATGTCAAGGAGAGTGGCAAATAGTTATTTGTTGACTTTTTAGTGATGGAAAAAATTTTTTACAATGAAATTAGGTTGCCTCATTAGGACAACTGATCTGTCAGGGTGTAACTGCATGTAGTTTGGATGCATGGGGAGTGAGAATAGTGCACTGTCTGCATGCACTATTATAAAGCAAGTCTTATATGACAGCTTACTGATGACTGTGGATGACAGGGGCTGGAACTTGGATGAGTTAAGCCACATTAATGAAGATGGTCTTGATAGATCAAAATGGTAGAGCAAACTGAAAAAGTCCTGTTTTTGTCCAATGATGCTGGAATGAGTCCGAGATCATGGATCAATATCCCTTTATGGTAATGGGGGCTAACTTGTTGTCTTCAAAGAGAAAGAAAAACAAGTTGGCACCTGAGGAATGGAGGGAGAAAGTGGTGTAATGTATTGATGTTACACCAGTTATTAAAAACAATCCATCTTTCTTCCAATATCGTCTAGGAGGAAGACCTTCTAACTGTTGCTATCCTTTACACAAATGAAGTTTCAAAATCCTTTTCATACAGCCAGGCCTAAAGGAGAAGTTTCTCTTGACACAGATAGAACAGTGGCAATTACTGAAGGAAAACACATACCAAGACACAAAAGTCTAGTAATTTCATCCCTCATCGTCTGAGAAGGTATGTGAAAACTACTGAACTGTGTCAGGACTGTAGGTCTGAACAAAAATTATACCCAACAAATGGAGACATTGAGAATGGCTTTCATTTCTGAGAGGTTATGGTGAAGAGATTGTCTCTTGACATAGAAACTTGTCATTGACTGATGTTAAGTCTTGTAGCAAGCGTGCTCCTGATACCGACAAATTGGCATTCATACAAATTATTTCCGGCTCTTGTGGGAGAACCTATGTCCACTGGGCTGGCTAAAACTGCAAGAATAATCCACCCATGTATCATTTTATCTGCAGGAGCAAAGGATGGAAAGAGAATTCAAGTCTTATTTTATTTTGGATATCCCAAAAGTGTTTGTTATTTTCAGCTAAACTAGGCAGAAGTTAATGTCACATGACACAAAAAGTGGTGAACTAGCTTCACCAGTGGCTAAGGTGTATATAAACGTTGCACCAATAAGACATGGTGATCAACTGAACCAATGAATAACAATAACTATTGCCTCTCATGAGTTACAAAGACAATGAAACCAGACAGGGACCAGGGGTAACAAGAACAACACAGCAGATGCGAGGGAATGAATCCACTTTCCTTCAGGCAGTACCTATTTCTAGAAATCATAATAAGTCTTCTGGTGAAAATCTCATGTTGATATGACTTTCCATTTAGATTCAGCAATAATAATTTAAAGATGACCACTTTGGCAGCCATACTAGATATCAAATTGGTACAACTTTCATTGAGTAACAACTAGGTTTGTAATAAGTATTTTAGTGAAAATTCCATGTAGGTGCAGTAGTGATAAAATGTTTTAAAAATAGCCATTATGGACGTCCAGTTGGCACCATGTTCATTTAAGTTCAACTAGACAATTGTAACAAGTCTACTGGTGAAAATCCCATGTTGATAAGACTTTCCTTTCAGGAGAAATGATAACAAGATTTTCATGATGGCTGCTGTGATGGCCATATTGGATGTCAGATCTGTACCAGTTCATTTACAAACAACTAGATGTTATAAAAAGGCTTTAGTTAAACCACCATTTGGCACTTTATCTTTCAAAAATGTATAAATATGTTAAGTAAAATAATAAAAGAGAGACAAACAGTCATACATATAATTATATTGTTATAAAGGATAGACAATTTATCAAATAATTTTTTAATTATAATTTATAAAATGTTATAGAGTGCATTGGTTTTGCGACCTTTAGGATACAAAGTATCTAACTTATGAATCCAATAATTTTTCTTTATCAGTCTATTCAAGTCTCCATGTTTCTTTAATAAGTCTATTCATTTCTCCATGCACAATATTGATTGGCATGAAAGAAAAATTAGCTAGTCATTATTGGTATTAAAATGTGTTGAAATATTGGAGAAACAGATGGATCTCTATAATTTTTTATACAAAAGCGATGATTATTCACTCTTTAAGAATATGTTCAGAAACACAGTAAAACCTGATAAATACAACAACATGTGAATGAGAGAAAAGTGCCCTCCTAATACAGATGGTTGTGTATTGAAGGTTTATTTCTAATTCACTGTTGAAGACAGATGCCTTGCGGGTGGTCTTTAAGACCAGGCTGACTGTACATATTTTTATTATAAAAGAGGTAGATCAGAACTGTAAACTATTCTATAAGAAATCGCATACTGTATTGAACTATATCTCTTGAAAGAGTGTTGGAAAAGGTGTGAAGGCAATCAGAGATCTGTGAATAATACTAACTTACTGTAGCATTCCTTATAGCTGTAAGGACGTCCATTGTAGAGAGGCCAACTAATGGGTCTACTGACTCCAGGGTTCTGCCAAATGTCTCATGGAAAATGTAGCAGATTCTTGCACCTCCACATCTGTATAAATGTGTCAAAAATATCCATCTAAATTAAGAACTGAAACACATTAAGGCTGCAAGGTTTAAATATGCAAATAGCCTAGGTAAAGTTTAGACTAATTAGTAAGTATTGAAATGAACACATATATGTCTGTCATTGACACAGGAACTATCCATTTCAATTAAATAATATTTCCAAATCTCTCTGATTTTTCTGTTAACTCTTTTTTTAAAGTATGAATCCATGTTTTTCATATCAAATATGGTATCACTAGGAAAAAGTAAACATTGATAGGAATTTGTTACATCACACATTACATTGCATCATACCTCAAAACATTACACATCACATTACACAACACTACACATTACAAACACAACATTACACATTATATTACACAACACTACACACAACAAACATAACATTACACATCACATTACATCATTATACATATATTACACAATACACATTACAAAATGTAACATTACACATTTACATTACACAACACTACACACAAAAACACAACATTACATATCACATATTATATTACACTTCACATTACAAAACATTACACAATACAAACACAACTTACACATCACATTATACAACATTACACATTACAAAACAGAATATTACATACCACAGTATACATCAGGTTGATTTACTGATAATGCTGATAAAACTTTCTTTAAACTGTAGAATTTACTTATAAATAATATGATTG